CACATAAAACTTGCTTGAGTTCACTAGGAAACCACCTAGTGAGAGTTTATGAGAAATTTTCCAGTCAAGAAAGGCTGCTGAGGAATTATCAGGAAGTCTGTGCCTTCTGTCAGTCATACAGAGCTCAGATCTTCCTGAGTCATCGTTTCAGTTCCCTGCTATCACTAAGAGATACAACATATCTTTTTCATAAAATGAACAAGTTTCATCCTGTAACTTGCTCCATTGCTCCCTTCCTACATCTAACAAAACCTGTTCTTCATCTCTACTCCTTTAATGATTAAAATCCTTAACTGTGAAATTTATTCATAGTGCTTTAATTTTCCTGTTCCTTCCCTTTTCTGGCACTTCTGAAGAGCTGTTCTTCTTTATCTTATGCTTACCTTAACACTCTTCTTTTCCTCTGAGCCTTCAGTAAGCAGGAAAGCTTCATGTCCATCTGTCCCTTCCACACGCAGGAAACAATTAGTGGTGTGTCCAATTCCTGAAGGAAGGACTTTGTCCCATAGCATGGCATTTATCACAGTGCTTTTTCCATTGCTTGTCCTGAAGTCAGATTAAAGAGTGGTATAGATCGGCTTCTGAGATTCAGGTATACTCCTTTTCATGTTACAGAAAGCAAGTTCTCTAAACCCAAGCAGTATGAGAAGTATTAACAATTTAGGTGCCATAGGCAACTTACAAAAACACTCTTCTGTTTTCTTATTTTAAGAATTCTTCCAAGTCAAAGAATTATGTGCTACAATACTTGTTTCTAATTTACAAGAGGACTAGAACCAGGGACATGCACATTACAAGCAAAAGCTGGAGCACTAGCATTTCTATAAATATTTTTTACTGGCTACAATCCTAAAGATGCCAGTTGCTTTACTAAGTGGGGAGTGTAGGCAACATAAGCACGTGACTCACCTTCCAAAAAAAGCAACTTTCATGTGTCGTCTTGCCAACACTTCACTAATGCCACTGACTTTTGACAGATAGCCTTTGACTTCCAGTACCTGCTCTTCTGTGGTGACAGGATCAAGCTCAATGTTCTTGTGTGTTTCTAAAACCAAAATGTATCATGTGTCTGAATTCCAGAGCTCACCTGTCTCAGTACTGGGTGAAACACCTCTTCAAGACGTAACACGCATAACTGAATGTTTATCTGTGTCCCAAAGCCCGTGCAGGTAATGTTGACACGCGCAATTACACCCTGAGGCAATTTTGTATCAGCACTTATCATCTGGTCTCTTTTGTGTATCTAATAACCGTTCTCATCCTTAGGACTGCCTTAAACAGAACACAGCCAACACTTCAAACGCTCCAACACCATTTAAAAAAAAATCTTCTGTCTGTGTTTTAAGCTGTTAAAGCCAATTATTGGTATATGCTACATACCACTAGCAATGACACATCTAGGCAAGAAAATTGAAAGAATTATAGGCAAAAAACCTAAAGGGCCTTCTGTAGTTTTTTAATAAACTCCCAAACACAAAAAAACCAAGCATAGGTCACTAACTAGCTCAGTTTCATAACATGTGTGAACTTGTCAGCTTTAAAATATGAACCCTGAACTCCACTCAAATTCAATAAAATAACTTTCTGTTCTTCTTATAAATATTGGTATATAAACAGACATATGCATGTATAAATAAGCACAGGTCTAGCAGCGCCATTTAACTGAATGAGGTTTTTTTGATGTGTGTTTGGGGGAATCGTATGCGGGCAACGCACTGTTACACACTTGTAGTTCAAGAATTCAACTTACCTTCCAGGAACGAGGAGCTCTCATTGATGTATGCAGCCAACTGTTCAAAGATACCATTGATTTTCTTCTTTGCAGTGACAAAATGTTTAAGCGGAGAAGCATTTACCTCAGCCATGTGTCTTTTATCCTTCTTCACTGCAACTATGGACTTGGAACGAGTAAACAACAGGGACATTGCGCTACAGGGAAAAATCCAGTAAATAAAGGTGGCTCACCAAGTGCCAACAGCTATCCAACTAGGCATCCTACCAAGAAGTAGATAAATACACGTTTTAAAAACAATTTTCTTCTTTCAGAAAGAAATTGTTCCACTTTCTACAACTGGAAATTACTGGTATATCAGAAATAATAAAAAATCAACTTCATCTTTCCTTTTCCTTCTCCCTTCCAATAAACAGGCCCCCAGCCATCACTTCTTCCCTTCCTTCGCTTACTTTCAGGATGAGTGACGTTTTCACAGGTCAGGCATGGTCAGCTCGACTCCTCCTTGAACATGAACGACTGCAGTTTTCCTGCCTTCTCCCCCACCCTCGCCAGACTCCGTCCTGCAGCTCTTTCAGCGACGCCGAGTCCAATCCGTCCCCGTCCCTGCAGCAGAGGGACCGGGGGATGAGGCACGCAGGCTACCGAGCTCCCCGCCATCCCAGCGCCCGGGGGCTGCACTGGGCAGATGGTCCGGGCGGCC